TGCATTTGGAATGTTTTTTTTTCGACTGTGACCAACGTGTTGGTGTGAATTGTAGATTCAGAAAATGGCGCGATGCCTGTCGTTCAATGCTGGCGGGACCCGTATTAAAATTGATCACGCGGGCAACTGCTGATCTGTTGGCGACAAGTTCTGCTATCATCAATGATGAACTGCATTTCTAATGTTGGACTGTTTGTGTTAGCACTTCGGATGGCTACCATATGCTTTAATGCGAGTGTATGCTAGATATGCTGAGACAGCAGTCTGTCAATCTTTCCACAAGGGACTGTGATAGACATTCTGAGTGTTTTTCGCTGGCACAGGAGCGGAGCAAAGATGGGGCGACCCGTTTGCTATGAAGCTGAAACTAAGACTACCATACCATACCATACCATACCATAGAGAAGCTAAACACAAGTATGTAGTTATTGTTCAGTCTTTGCTAAGTTTGTTGATTTAAAATTTCATTCAACTGACCGATCTTAAGGACACACCTAGGAAATGCATTCCTGGTAGCAAACAGTGTTCACTGTAAATACCCCGCCCCCAACTTCGTACATTTACATATAAATTACCCAACACAACAATGCATGATACAACACAAGTCTAAAAATGGTAAAAAATACCGCTTTGTAAAAAGTGTGAAAACAATTTCAAGAAGACTAAAATATCACAGAATGTTAAAAAAAAGTCAACGGTTTTTCTACAGATCTTTTGCGGTAAAGAAACGATTTGTACAAACAGGCAATCTATACTACGGAAGTTCTATACAGCATAACATTGGACTTTATTATACATATTATCGACACATGTATAGTGTAAGTTGCAATAATATTTGAAAAAAAAATCTAACAATATAAAAATGAGAACAAGCTTCAGTAGTATAACGTAAGTATTTGTTTAGTATGTTCATTTTACAGATTGGTTTTGTAGTTTTGTGCTGTAGATAGGTGTTTTTGTTTTGTGACATAGATTTGTGCTATAAGCTCCGGTTATACATCCGTGCTATATATTCCTGCAATAGGCGGCTTATGTTGTAGCATGGTGCTATAGGTTGTTGCTATAGGTTCATGTTGTAGCATGGTGCTATAGGTTGTTGCTATAGGTTCATGTTGTAGCATGGTGCTATAGGTTGTTGCTATAGGTTCATGTTGTAGCATGGTGCTATAGGTTGTTGCTATAGGTTCATGTTGTAGCATGGTGCTATAGGTTGTTGCTATAGGTTCATGTTGTAGCTTGATGCTATAGGTTGTTGCTAAAGGTTCGTGTTGTAACTTGGTGCTATGGGTTGTTGCTATAGGTTCGTGTTGTAGCTTGGTGCTATAGACCTGTATTGTAGGTTCATGTTGTATTGTACTATGAATGACTGGCACCTTTCACAGCCCATGGCGATGGCGAGTGCGACTAGCAAGACCCTCACGCTTTAATCCCACATGGGATTTCAGGATCGTTGTTGTGTAGTGTTTTTTTTGTTTTTCTCAAACGTTCACCTCTAATTCTTTCTGCAATCATTTCTTCCTTCATTCTCATTCCCTTCCTGATGTGCCTCCTTCACACAACACGGTCCGTGGCAATTTTCCCCACTATTCCACCTCAGTACTTGTATCATTCGTGTCCCTTTTGCACACATCGTTATATCGCAGTAGAGGTCGGCCTGGAAATCTTCTACCCATCTTTGGTTAACAATGGTGGATGCCCTTTGAGACTCTGCCATCCTCCGTTCTCCAGTTATGACCAGTCTTTCAAGACAAATCATTGAGATGACTGTTGTAACATCTGCTGGTTCCAATACCTCAGTGTTTTTAATCTTGTCCTGCCACTTAATGCTCAGTATTTTAGCCGTTTCTACTGGTGCGAATAAGTTTCACTGTCATAAAGCAGAGTGCTGAGAACACAAGCCTGACAGACAAGAGTTTTTGTTTTAATCTCCTTATTGTTGTTGCTTCCTCGCCTAACCTGGTGTTGATTTCTTGGTCCAGCGATAGTTTGTTATTCACTGTGGATCCCATATAGTTAAAACAAAAAGACCTTTTGTGCTATAGATTGGTATTGGGTGCTTTAATAATATCCTACCCCAAACAGAGAAAATCTACAGGTCACGGGACAGTCTAATATTTCAAGGGATGGTAGATAGGCTGCGTGCAGTCGTGGGACCTAGGCTGCATGGAGTCGTGGGACAAAGGCTGCACTCTCTCGTGGGACGTAGGTGGGTTGGGGTCAGGGCCAGTTAGAGATGTTTTGGGATCGTTAAAAGAATCAGAAAGCCGGTAAACCCAGTCATACCACCCTAAAAAATGTTGGACTGTCCTGTGACGTGTAGGATAATAATAAAACCAACTGGCAGTGTTACTAAGTGTCACAGTGTGGTTCATGATATTTATGTTGAGTTACTTTCTGTCATGTTGAGTTAGTTTGTGTACAATATGTTGGTCCCCTGTGAGTTCCTGAGTTCTACAAAGGATGCACAGTAAGTAGTCAGAGATGATACGGGACAGGCAGTGGAAGAGAGGGGGGGGGGGGCACATCACTGTTGTTCGCATTCTTGACTCAAAGAATTCAGAGGACTGTAATCTGCAGAAATGAGGCAGGCAAGGCAGAATTCAAAGACAGACAGACAGACAGACAGACAGACAGACAGACAGACAGACAGACAGACAGACAGACAGACAGACAGACAGACAGACAGACAGACAGACAGACAGACAGACAGACAGACAGACAGACAGACAGACAGACAGACAGACAGATAGATAGAGACAGACAGACACAGACAGACAGACAGACAGACAGACAGACAGACAGACAGACAGACAGACAGACAGACAGACAGACAGACAGACAGAGACAGACAGACAGACAGACAGACAGACAGACAGACAGACAGACAGACAGACAGACAGACAGACAGACAGACAGACAGACAGACAGACAGACAGACAGACAGACAGACAGACAGATAGATAGATAGATAGATAGATAGATAGATAGATAGATAGATAGATAGATAGATAGATAGATAGATAGATAGATAGATAGATAGATAGATAGATAGATAGATAGATAGATAGATAGATAGATAGATAGATAGATAGATAGATAGATAGATAGATAGATAGATAGATAGATAGATAGATAGATAGATAGATAGATAGATAGATAGATAGATAGATAGATAGATAGATAGATAGATAGATAGATAGATAGATAGATAGACAGAAAAACAGACAGATAGATAGATAAGTTGGGGACCCGTGTAATCAACGTTTATCGTGGAGCTGGCACCCGACTGAATGATTAGTTTCACCCAGGGTTCGCCCTAGACTCAAACAGTTTGCCACTGTAGATAAGGATTGCCCAGCTGACTGGGGGCAGAGCTGATGCCAGCTTTCACAGGAGAATGTCCAGAAATGGACGGGAAAAACAATTTGTGACGTTTTGAGTGTCAGTTGATCTATAAAGATCCTGGGATAGCACCATATATCTAATATATTCTCATTGCGAGGAGACTGATTCTGAACCCTTTGCTGAACCTTGTCTATCAAATTGTCTATGGGTAATACAATGCCACTGATTTGAACCAATTTATCATTTTTCGAACTCTCAGCCAATAAACACAAATAAGAAGGTGAATTTAATGTCATTTCATGCAGATGTCTGTCTGATGTGTTTGCTTCTAAACCTGGGTGAGACTGATGATGAAGACGATGTCGATGATGTTGATGATGTCGATGACAATGACGATGATATCAAGATCAATAATAATAGCATCAAAACAAATGTTCTGTCAAGTTTAAAGAAATGAAAAAGTATAACTTGAAATCTGAACATATTTCGTTGTTACCCTGTTGCTTTCAAACAAATGAAAAATTTCATAATATTTACATACGACGTAAAACATTCTGCACTGAGTGACACTGAATCATTATTCTCAGTATGTGGCTGTACAGTTAATATAAACGTTTAATCTTAAGGATCAGGTTTAAAAAAAACTACAATACCACAAGAAAAATTACTTTGGTTCTAAGTCTGCCAAATCTGGGCATCCAGTTTTGGCGCAGTGAAGTAATAAAAAACTTGATAAAATTACATCGATAAGAAACGCGTGCGTCTATTAAATATTTAGTGATAAGACTGTTGATTAAAGGAAAACACATGAGTATCAGCAGTTCTAAATCTACCAAATTTGAAGATCTGATAGGCTAAATATAAAAAAAGATTAAAATGTTTATATGTACACGATCTGAAAATACAGTTTCGTAAAAACATATAAAAATCAGATTTTATGAACTCATTTTTCCAGCTTGGAGTTGTGAAAAATTTGCACTAAACTGAAAGAGTCAAGGAATGACAGATAGACAGACCGACACATAGACAACAACGTATCGAACAAGAACGGACTCCTCTTCAATCCGCTAGCCGTACTGGTGTATGGTTGTGGTGCCCTATTCTGTGCACTAATCAACACAAATAGAGGGGACCACCATGTACTCAATATTGCTACGATGCAGATACGTGTCCGTAATTCAAACAGTAAAGTTGCGTATTGTCAAAGTGTGAAGCGCTAGAACAATATCATGGAAGCTAAACCGACCCCAGGGCCGTATTGGGAGGAAACCAATTATGCCTTGAGTGGACAATAAACCGCTGCGAGCAACTACTGCGCCACCACGGCTTCACCGAGGGAAGGGAAGGGGAGACAGACAGACAGACGGACGGACAGACAGATAGACGGACAGACAGACAGAAAGAAGGACAGACAGACGGACGGACGGACAGACAGACAGACAAACAAACAGACAGACAGATAGACAGAGACAGACAGACAGAGAAACCTTAAACCTAAACCCAAGTTAGGGAGAACTTAGTTCACTTCAAGAATTCGACAATAAAAATATTCCAAATTTCCATAAAATGCATTTGTGCACTAAATTCAGCAAGAAAACGTGCACCCGGAGACAAACCGGCAAAACTAACCAACATGTTCTTGCTACAGAACCAAGCTACAAAACTGTAACTTTTTGATTACTAGTTGTACTAATTGTTGCATCGTCGTCTAGTCCATCTGTGGTGACCAACGGAGCAGAAAGCGTGGTGGTCGCAGGCGGGCTGACCACCGACGAACTTATAGAATACGCCTTGGAGGAGCTGAGCACGTCGCTCTCTTTATTGTTTCTATTCTTCCAGAAATGAAGCAGAATTCCTTTCACTTTATTGCATATAGCCAGGAAGACAAAAAATCCAGGGATCGTAAACATGACCCATATAGGAATGACAGCAGCTAGATCGGCGTCTGGTTGTTTCAAGGAAAACCTCAGCGCTACCATGACGACCAGGCAGTTCAGACTAGAGGCCTCTAGAGCGATTGTTTTGATGACGGAGTACTTCTGTCTGCAAATGGTGGCCAGGAGCCCTCCGAGAATACAACCAAACAGAGGAAGCAACATGGAGCTGAGCAGTGCGTACCCGACGACCAGTTCAAATACGTACATGTTGATGTAGACTCCCAAAGTTATGTACAGGATACTTGCCAGCAACAAAAACGGTTTGATCAGCCACATGAGGATGGAGTCGGCGATGTGAGGTCGCATGTGTTTGATAGTTAGGCCCGCCGAGTAGGCCAGGAAGACCGCAACAAACCAAATTTCAAAATAGTAGATGGGGACGACCCGGGGGTTGAGTGCGGCGTTCGTATCGGACTGGAAGTACTGGCCCAGCACAAAAATCCATAGCGGAGCAGTTGCTGGGGAGGAAACAAGGGTACCATATCATTATTGATTCGACGAGTAATAATTGCTGTTCTTCTTCTTCTGCCTTTCTATCCCCCAATGGAGCATAGGCCCTCAACCAACTCACGCCAAGTCGTTCTATCCTTCGCCATTGCATGGAGCTCTCCCCATGTCCTCCCAGTCTTTATAACCTCATTCTCCAGCTCTCTTCTCCATATGTTTTTTGGCCTTCCTTTATTCCTATGCCCCTGTGGGTTCCAATGCAAAGATAATTGCTGTAACTATCTGAATATTCACAAGACACACAAGACTAAGGTCAACACACATAAATACTACTTTTTACCACTTAGATCAAGGACCTTTTATTACATCTCAGTATAATATGTGATCTGTTTGCTGACGACTGAACAATATTGACTAGTCATGATGATTGTAATGAGTTAAAACGTTCCTTAAAGAAAGAGATAATTTTATAAAATGGAGCAATAATACTCGCATGCAAATTAATAAAACTAAAACTAAACTCATGGTAATAACAACGAGGCCAAAGTTACAAACATTAGCTTTGCACAAGCAACTGCTTACGATCTTCATTGACAAACTCAACATCATCATCATTATCAGGTGCCTTGCTTACTGGCGTGGGCGAACATGCCTCTCCACAATCTGCGATGTCCTGCAGCTGTATCAGTTTGTGTACCGACACACCTCCATGCCATGCAACAAGACTGTCAAAAATCTTCTCTCTTTGTCGTCCTCTATCCCTCCTTCCACACATCTTTTCAGTGGTCACAACATGTTCCATCTTCCATCTTCTCGTAACATGGCCGAACAATGATGACTGTCTCCTTCTGATGTCTGTGATAAGTTGTCTTCGGGCTCCCACCTCTTTCAAAACCTCTTGGTTGCTCTTTTTGGCTATCCAAGGTATTCTAAGAATTCTTCTGTAAAACCAGATCTCTGAGGACTCAAGAAATTGTTTGGCCTGCCTACCGATTGTCCAGGGTTCACAGCCATATGTTAAAATTGGATGTATGTAGCAAGCAAGAATTCTTTTTAACCTTCAATGACAGAGATAAATTGCACAAGATGTTCTTCATTTTATAAATGCAGTTTTTGCTTGTCCTATTCTGTTTCTTATCTCAGTTATTTATCTTCCATCTGATGTTGTCCCTGTGCCCTAATACTTAAATTTCTGTACTTGTCCCAAAATAACACCATCGACTTTTATTACACATTTAGGAATAATTTGTTTCTGTGATACCACTATTACTTCTGTCTTCCCATTGTTCAAACGTAAAATATTTTACTTGTATTTTCGTCCAGAAAGTTCTGAATTTTGCCAAGTTAATAAACTCTGGTTATGGCATGAACTTGTGAACTCCAAGTTATATGGTTGTCAGTTAAAATTCCTAATGTTTTGTGTTCAGCAACATTAACAATAGGTAGTATATGCAATGGAAATTATACAGACTATTGATGAACAATTGGATATGTTGCGTGAGTCAATTCAGCAGACATCAAAAGAGACAATCCCACCAACCCATGGAGTTGCAAAAAAGAAATGGATGTCAACCGAAATTCTGCAGCTGATGGATGAAAGAAGGAAGAAAAAGAATGATAAAGAAGAATACTCTACAAATCAAAAAGAAATAGTGAACAAATGCGAAGTGGCTAAAGAGGGTGGTACGACAAGGATGTGAACTGTCACCTGATTTGTTTTCAATATACAGTGACATATACGTGCTTCACCAAGCTTAACTCCTCGGTCACGCAATCGTGTCAGCGTCATGGAATCGCCATTATCCCCCAGTCTAGTCTGTATAGCGTTGATGATATCAGCTTTGCCCATGCTTCTTCCGGTTTGCATTGGTTCATTATTTGCCAGCTGGTCAGCTCTTTCCTTACCTTACTCCTTACTCGTGCGCAGATCCAGATGATGGATGTTAACTGCGACTTCCGAATGCTTTATATCCATTCAGAGCGTAGACTACCTGTAGCGATTTTCTGAAGCATGTTCATGGAATCTGAAACGATGACCTCATGTGTGGCCGCTAGTTCTGCTATCCAAGCCAGTGCTCTGGGAGTAGCAGTTATCTCCATGGTCGTGCTTTAAGTAGTTGTCTGGTAAGCGCCGCTGTCCTCTTGTATTGCCCCCCTCCCCCCAACCCACCCTTTGTGCTGTGTATGCCTATGCTGATCTTGACCCGGGCTTCACGGACCCATCTGTGTAAATGACGACGTCTTCTGGGCGTGAAAGCTGATCAATGAGTGCTCTAATCTCGATGTCTACGGTGCAGTTACCTGACTCCTGCAGTACTTACCCAGTATATGACAACCTTAGACAAGACATTTATTTCTACTGGTGTAACCATCCATTCTCTCCCATGACTGATCTGTTCTAAGTCACATACTAGCTGGATTAGATTTTCTACATCGGCCGACTAGGAAGGAGGAGGCTTTCTTGAGAAGCATCCTTTTTACATCACTGGTAGCATTGTGCAGTGGGTGGTCGATGTCTGCTGATATTCTTATGTAGCTTTCACGTGTACCACCTTATGTCTGGTGGCCATCGTCGGTAAAACCATGACACACCGCATGGCGAGGCACAAGGTGTAACTGAGGAGAGATAGACATATGTGATAACACCTAACGTAATTAACACAATATCCTCACCTTTGAAACTTGTGAGTTCCTACGACGACGACAACAATAACAACAACAAAATGAGACCCTGCCTCCTCTTTCCCCATTCTCTCCAAAAGAGACTCACAACCCCTACCTAAAATGGCGACCACGTTGATTAGATTCATAGTGAGACTTAGAGCAACATCTCCATCCGCGATGATTACCGCCACATGACTGATCCCTCCGCCAGGGACACAAGCTACACACAGGAGCCCAAACAAGACTTCCTTGTCCAGTGGAAGCAACATAGCTAATCCGAAGGCCGTCTGGGAAATACAAAACATTGCTTGATAATTTAGAGGAATATATTACAGTAAATATATAGTCCCGGTTACATGCATCGAATAGATTGGCGGATGAATATGTTATGAATATTTAGCAATGGAAATAAGAGGTCAACCATAAACATCACAGTAAACACAGACTATGTCAAGTAACATGGAATTGAGAGTAATTCTATCTCACATCCAGTAATGTAGAGTTAACAGTAACTCTTTACCAACTCAACAATTTGAAATTAACAGTTACTCTATCACACACATCCAGCAATATAAAGTTAACACAAATATTTCCCGCAACCAACAATAAGGAGTTGACAGTAACTCCATCCCACACCGAACACTAGGAAGTTAAGAGCAGTGCTTTTTTCCCTGGTCTGGGAGTACCGGTGCCTTTTTTTTCTAGGAAAGAAAGGTCACAGTTTACGGTAACTATCTCACGCCAAAACATAATGGTGTTAACTGTAAATCGACCCCACAACCCCAAAAACTGAGTTAACACCAAATCTATCACATATCCAACAATTTGGAATTCAGCGCAACACCATCCCTCATCCAACAACACAAGAGTTAACAGGAAATCTTCCCAACAACAGAGTTACGGTTAAACATATCCAACACCCACTATTATGGAGATAGCGATAACTCTACTCCATAACCAACAACATGGAGTTAACGGTAGTTCTAACAAGCAAACCAATATGATGGTGTTTTTGTGTGTGTGAAAAAACGAGAGTGAGAATTCTCGAGGTATGTCACCTGATTGAACTGCTCTCTGTGAACGTATAGGCTGGCTTTGCGTTTACATGTGACATAGAACCGACACAGAGTCATAATAATGGCCGTTATGGTTTCTTGGCAAGTTTTGCAGAAGGTAGTTTGCCATTGCTTTCCTTCTGGGCAGTGACTGTACTAGTCGGTTGCCATAGCCATTGTCTCTACTGCTGAGATTATCTGCCTATCGCCGCAGATTGCATGACCATAATCAACAACAGTCTGTCGGCTGCTCTCACACTTCAGCCACCACCTGCTTCCATAGCTTCGTGTAACCCTGACTTTGGGGGCTAAAACGGTACTCCACCTTGCCCAAGAGTGTCCTGTAGACTGACGGAGAATGGAGGTCTCCTACATCTTCTATTATAGGTGATACCTAAACCCCGATAACCAAACCCATACTTCAAGAACTGAATATTGAAGAAGGTTGGCTATAAAAGAGGATAAAACAGTTAACTTAACATTCCCTTGTGGGATGCAATTTTTCGTTATTCAAAGCCCCACCCTGGCTCTTGCCAGGGGCCGCAATATAGCCCCTCCATAAATATGGTCAAATGGCTGAACGCGGTTTCTGGGACCTCTCCACGGTGATCTTCATCCCCATGGTGACACTTTGTGTCATCAGGTGTTTATCGCTTGTGTGATGTCCTAGTGGGGTAAATTGTACTACTACTACTAAGACGATAAAACACATGAAATAGAAATATTTTGGTCACTTGAAACGTCACGAAAGTTTAGAGAGAAAATAATGGAGAGGTATATGCCTGAGAAGAGAGGAAGAGGAAGGCCAAAGAAAAGATGGGTGCAGGATGTTGCGGATAATCTCCAGATGGGTGTATCGGACGCGGGACATCTTGCTTGTGATCGAGAAGTTTTCCAGAAGGTTGTTATAGGAGCAAGGTTCTGCAAAGGACATGCTACTGACTGGGTGACTGACTGACTGACTGACTGACTGACTGACTGACTTACTGACTGACTGACTGACTGACTGACTGACTGAATAATAATTGAGGCACGTGAAAAGAAACTATTTTTTAATAACTTTTTCATTTAATCGTTAGACGAGTATTGAACAGCCCCTGTTGGGTACTAATGGTCGGAGTACTCTACCCCTTGTTACTGTTGTTTAGTTAATGTCGAGATAGGTACCGGCTGAAATGTCAATTTGTCGTTTGCATGTTCGTTGTTACCCTTTCACTTTTTTTTAACGCTTTTAAGCCACGATTTTGATTAAATTTCGAGTGATGTTATTTTTGAGAAAAAAAAGTGTAAAAGGAGCACTCCCCCCCCCCCCCCCCTTCCCCCCCCCCAAAAAAAAAAAGAAAGAAACGAGTTAGTCTTCTTCCGAACAGGTGAGAACAGTAAACTGATTACATAAAAAAAAAGACAGTTTCCCTCTCCCACAGCCCCCGCCCCTCCCTTTACCAGTCCTGTTATAAGAAGAATGCATTCGAGAACTTTGTAGCGATATGTGCGACTGTTTGAAAAAGAGCAAAAGAAAGGCAACGAGATATATACCTGGATGTCCTAGCCATATGGTTGAGGTGAGACAAGATCACTGACCTGATCCGTGATTCTGGTGACCGTGTGAGATGACAACAACCTATGTTTATCAGTATGTACATGAAGATGATGTTGATTTGATTTGTGTGTGTCTCTCCTCCATATGTGAGGATAAGAAAAGTTTTCCTTTGACAGTTTTTCATATGATGACATTTTACATTTTAGCTAAGATGACCGTTAAGGCTTTCCGTATTTTGTCATGCTGGTTGATAGCGTATCGACTACATTTGCTCTCATTGACCAACAGGCATAAAGGATATCGATTACACGTGATGCGACGCCAGAATTGAGAGTAAAACACATCGATTACATTTGACGTATGTGTTTCTAAGAGCCTGAAGCTCGGGTAAGGTATGGTAGCCTATTTTTCTGTTGGGTACAAATAAAACTTCCAACTTGTACAGTTCGTGGTTTCTCTCCCCCCCTCTTCCTCCCTTTTTTCCCTCCCTCCCCCATACAGTATTACAAGTGGTAAATGTAGACAGTAAACTGAATTTCGGATGTGTACATTTGGTGTTTGTATGGCAGCTGCATGACAGATGTTAAAGATAGGATTCCAAATAGACGAACAGTTGAATACAAATGTTAACAAATATAGTAAATGTTTCTTTACGAATGTTTATTTACAAGTGTTATTTAAAAGCTGAAATTGTTTTAACAACCGCAAATTTTCCATAAACAGGTTTGCCCTCTGAAAAATTCATGTCCAGTGACTCGAAAAGTGACTATTCGGGAAGAAATTTAACAGGAGCAAATCAACGAAACCCCACTCAGCAGTGTGACCCAGATATATTAGAACTGCCGACAGTTAGGACACAACTTGTAGTCCATTTGAGGCAGATTTGTCTCTTCTATGCTGTTGTGACAATCTGTGACAATCTGACCCCTATGCTGTTGTGACACTCTGACCCCTATGCTGCTGTGACAATCTGACCCCTATGCTGCTGTGACAATCTGACCCCTATGCTGCTGTGACAATCTGTGACAATCTGTGACAATCTGACCCCTATGCTGTTGTGACAATCTGACCCCTCCCCGCGTGGGGTCTGGGACCCCACTATGGAGAAGACAGAACAGACCCACTGTGTCCCTAACATGCTGGTTGTAGAACGGCTTTAATTAGGGCTATTCCCGTTACAGTCGGATTCAATCTGCTTGATAGACAAGGAACCAACAGTCTGCATACAAACAAACTTTATTTGTAATATGTCTGCAAAACTCCAGTTTTAGATCAAGACCAAAGTACAGAAGTGGACGAACGACCAGAACTTCCTCCGGAGTTTACAGCCAGTGAGCGATAAGAAGAAGAGGAATCTGACACCTTCTCTCACCAGATCGGAGAAACATGTCAACTGGACGACATCTCTGGACGGCTTTCTACTTAACTGAATCCTTGTGGTGTCTATAAAACTTCAGATTTTTAAAAAAAGAATATATCACGACTCTCATCAGAGACTTCCTGGCAAAGGATTGCCGGGCAAAGTGGACATTTTCTGAGCATATTATGAAGGACGTCTAAGTTTTAATAAGACCTCCCAAGAAAGGAGTTAATCGTGTTGAGTTCACAAGGAAAGATAATAATTTTTGACGAATATTTCTATATTCTTCTTAATACTGCTATCTTTCTTTTCTGCTGTTGGCAAGTGTGTCGATCAATCACCTATCTTTGTTGTCTGCTGTTGGCAAGTGTGTCGATCAATCACCTATCTTTGTTGTCTGCTGTTGACAAGTGTGTCGATCAATCAGCAATCTTTGTTGTTTGCTGTTGGCAAGTGTGTCGATCAATCACCTATCTTTGTTGCCTGCTGTCGGCAAGTGTGTCGATCAATCACCTATCTTTGTTGTCTGCTGCTGGCAAGTGTGTCAATCAATCACCTATCTTTGTTGTCTGCTGTTGGCAAGTGTGTCGACCAATCAACTATCTTTGTTGTCTGCTGTTGGCAAGTGTGTCGATCAATCAGCAATCTTTGTTGTCTGCTGTTGGCAAGTGTGTCGATCAATCAGCAATCTTTGTTGTCTGCTGTTAGCAAGTGCGTCGACCAATCAGCAATCTTTCTTGTCTGCTGTTGGCAAGTGTGTCGACCAATCACCAATCTTTGTTGTTTGCTGTTGGCAAGTGTGTCGATCAATCACCTATCTTTGTTGCCTGCTGTCGGCAAGTGTGTCGATCAATCACCTATCTTTGTTGTCTGCTGTTGGTAAGTGTGTCAATCAATCACCTATCTTTGTTGTCTGCTGTTGGCAAGTGTGTCGACCAATCAACTATCTTTGTTGTCTGCTGTTGGCAAGTGTGTCGATCAATCAGCAATCTTTGTTGTCTGCTGTTGGCAAGTGTGTCGATCAATCAGCAATCTTTGTTGTCTGCTGTTGGCAAGTGTGTCGACCAATCAGCAATCTTTGTTGTCTGCTGTTGGCAAGTGTGTCGATCAATCACCTATCTTTGTTGTCTGCTGTTGGCAAGTGTGTCGATCAATCAGCAATCTTTGTTGTCTGCTGTTGGCAAGTGTGTCGATCAATCACCAATCTTTGTTGTCTGCTGTTGGCAAGTGTGTCGACCAATCATCTATCTTTGTTGTCTGTTTTTGGCAAGTGTGTCGACCAATCACCTATCTTTGTTGTCTGCTGTTGGCAAGTGTGTCGACCAATCACCTATCTTTGTTGTCTGCTGTTGGCAAGTGTGTCGATCAATCACCAATCTTTGTTGTCTGCTGTTGGCAAGTGTGTCGATCAATCACCTATCTTTGTTGTCTGCTGTTGGCAAGTGTGTCGATCAATCACCAATCTTTGTTGTTTGCTGTTGGCAAGTGTGTCGATCAATCACCAATCTTTGTTGTCTGCTGTTGGCAAGTGTGTCGACCAATCATCTATCTTTGTTGTCTGTTTTTGGCAAGTGTGTCGACCAATCACCTATCTTTGTTGTCTGCTGTTGGCAAGTGTGTCGATTAATCACCAATCTTTGTTGTCTGCTGTTGGCAAGTGTGTCGACCAATCAGCAATCTTTGTTGTCTGCTGTTGGCAAGTGTCGACCAATCACCAATCTTTTTTGTCTGGTGTTGGCAAGTGTGTCGACCAATCACCAATCTTTGTTGTTTGCTGTTGGCAAGTGTGTCGACCAATCACCAATCTTTGTTGTTTGCTGTTGGCAAGTGTGTCGACCAATCATCTATCTTTGTTGTCTGTTGTTGGCAAGTGTGTCGACCAATCACCTATCTTTGTTGTCTGTTGTTGGCAAGTGTGTCGACCAATCACCTATCTTTGTTGTCTGTTGTTGGCAAGTGTGTCGACCAATCACCTATCTTTGTTGTCTGTTGTTGGCAAGTGTGTCGACCAATCACCTATCTTTGTTGTCTGTTGTTGGCAAGTGTGTCGACCAATCAACTATCTTTGTTGTCTGTTGTTGGTAAGTGTGTCGACCAATCAACTATCTTTGTTGTCTGTTGTTGGTAAGTGTGTCGACCAATCAACTATCTTTGTTGTCTGTTGTTGGTAAGTGTGTCGACCAATCAACTATCTTTGTTGTCTGTTGTTGGCAAGTGTGTCGACCAATCAACTATCTTTGTTGTCTGTTGTTGGTAAGTGTGTCGACCAATCAACTATCTTTGTTGACTGTTGTTGGTAAGTGTGTCGACCAATCAACTATCTTTGTTGTCTGTTGTTGGCAAGTGTGTCGACCAATCAACTAGCTGTGTTGTCTGTTGTTGGTAAGTGTGTCGACCAATCAACTATCTTTGTTGTCTGTTGTTGGTAAGTGTGTCGACCAATCAACTATCTTTGTTGTCTGTTGTTGGCACATGGTGGCACATTGTGTCATCGAGTGTTTATCGCTTGTGTGATGTTCTGGTGGGGTAGAAAGTCAGTCAGTCAGTCGGCTCATCTTCAGTATTTCTCTAGGACATTTTAAGAAGTTATGAAAACCAAAAATTACACGAACAATGATGAAAACCACATAAACACAAGGCCAGGCTTTCACAAACGTCCTCAGTTCCCACACACAAGTCCTCAGTTCCCCCACACAAGTCCTCAGTTTCCACAAGTCCTCAGTTTCCACAAGTCCCCAGTTTCCACACACAAGTCCTCAGTTTCCACACACAAGTCCTCAGTTTCCACAAGTCCTCAGTTTCCACAAGTCCTCAGTTTCCTCACACAAGTCCTCAGTTTCCACACACAAGTCCTCAGTTTCCACACACAAGTCCTCAGTTTCCCCACACAAATCCTCAGTTCCCACACACAAGTCCTCAGTTTCCACACACAAGTCCTCAGTTCCCACACACAAGTCCTCAGTTTCCACACACAAGTCCTCAGTTCCCATACACAAGTCCTCAGTTCCCACACACAAGTCCTCAGTTTCCACAAGTCCTCAGTTTGCACACACAAGTCATCAGTTTCCACACACAAGTCCTCAGTTTCCACACACAAGTCATCAGTTTCCACACACAAGTCCTCAGTTTCCACAAGTCCTCAGTTCCCACACACAAGTCCTCAGTTTCCACACACAAGTCCTCAGTTTCCACACACAAGTCATCAGTTTCCACACACAAGTCCTCAGTTCCCACACACAAGTCCTCAGTTTCCACACACAAGTCCTCAGTTCCCACACACAAGTCCTCAGTTCCCACACACAAGTCCTCAGTTTCCACAAGTCCTCAGTTTCCACACACAAGTCCTCAGTTTCCACAAGTCCTCAGTTTCCACACACAACTGTAATTGTAATGTAAAGACATCCTCTCATTTTCACACACCCTTAATTGTAAAGTAAAGACATCCTCTCAATTTCACACACAATTAATTGTAAAGTAAAGACATCCTCTCAATTTCACACACAATTAATTGTAAAGTAAAGACATCCTCTCAATTTCACACACAATTAATTGTAAAGTAAAGACATCCTCTCAATTTCACACACAATTAATTGTAAAGTAAAGACATCCTCTCAATTTCACACACAATTAATTGTAAAGTAAAAACATCCTCTCAATTTCACACACAATTAATTGTAAAGTAAAGACATCCTCTCAATTTCACACACCCTTAATTGTAAAGTAAAAACATCCTCTCAATTTCACACACCTTGAATTGTAAAGTAAAAACATCCTCTCAATTTCACACACCCTTATTGTAAAGTAAAGACATCCTCTCAATTTCACACACCCTTAATTGTAAAGTAAAAACATCCTCTCAATTTCACACACCCTTTTTGTAAAGTAAAGACATTCTCTCAATTTCACACACCATTAATTGTAAAGTAAAAACATCCTCTCAATTTCACACACCCTTTTTGTAAAGTAAAGACATCCTCTCAATTTCACACACCTTGAATTGTAAAGTAAAAACATCCTCTCAATTTCACACACCCTTATTGTAAAGTAAAGACATCCTCTCAATTTTACACACCCTTAATTGTAAAGTAAAAACATCCTCTCAATTTCACACACCCTTTTTGTAAAGTAAAGACATTCTCTCAATTTCACACACCATTAATTGTAAAGTAAAAACATCCTCTCAATTTCACACACCCTTTTTGTAAAGTAAAGACATCTTCTCAATTTCACACACCCTTAATTGTAAAGTAAAAACATCCTCTCAATTTCACACACCCTTTTTGTAAAGTAAAGACATCTTCTCAATTTCACACACCCTTAATTGTAAAGTAAAAACATCCTCTCAATTTCACACACCCTTAATTGTAAAGTAAAGACATCCTCTAATTTTCACACACCCTTAATTGTAAAGTAAAGACATCCTCTCAATTTCACACACCCTTAATTGTAAAGTAAAGACATCCTCTCAATTTCACACACCCTTTTTGTAAAGACATCCTCTCAATTCCGTACACTCTTAGTTGTAAAGATATCCTCTAAATTCAACACAGCGTCATTTCTTACATAAAGACATGTCTTATATTTTACATGTGCTTTACTTTAGAACACAGATTTCCTATAAAATTTACACGTTAGCAAATTTATCACTCTTATCCTGGCCGGCTCGCTAGCACAGTTGGCTAAACATGACTGCGTGGCGACCGGGTGACTAACTCCTTGTGGCCCGGGTTTACGCCCGGGGAAGGCAGAAAAGCCACATTTATCCCAGATTTACAGTATCTATCGTGGAGTCAAGGCCAAAGGGTTACGATATCTATTGTACCGAGCCAAATGGTTAACAACTTATAGGTTCTGGATACTTAATGACTCTTATCTCAATCTCCATTCAAATCGCTTGCAGTTACAATGGAACTTTTCAATGATTTACACTGCAGCGATAAGCGGAGAGATCATAATAAACGAATCTTGATGTGAAGAGCGAAGCAAGAAAAGAACGATGGAACCGCCTTTGAAAATTGGTTGATTTTACGCGACATTGGCTCATCAGACTTCTTTTTCTTGTATCTGGCTACCAATTCTAAAGTTACCAAAATCAGGGATTGCTTTCATTCCCGCTACTTGTGAGTGTTGAAGCTTCGACTGGTTGTCTGCGTGAGTTGAGGAATAAGAAAAATACAATTTTGGCTTGGGGCAAGGGGGGGGATAAGAGGCATTGAATTGAAGCAGCTCAGACGACACCAGTTGGAAGATAGACTACTTGATAAGGATCGAAATGTGAGACTAGGGAAAGTCCCAGTTTGGTCTAATGGTGTTCTTGATTAGATCAGCGTCGGCTATCTGGGTAAGAATGGTCGCTCGAACGCACAAAGGTCAGCTAAAGTGCTTGGCAGAATGAATAGATTTAAGATGTGTAAAGTTAGCCTATTTAAATTTTCCTTACGCACAGACATCATTTCCTTTTGTCAACAAATGTTGGTGGCTGAACATTCATACTTGTAAAACAAACATGTCCTGCCCATTCTATACTTCCCGTTTATCAAAATATTATAAATTATATATGTTCTTCGTTCTAAATAAAGAAATAATCTAAATTCTACTCGACTGAAATTGAAAAAAAAAAAAAAAAAAAAATTTATTCCGTATTTCACATGTTCTTAGTTTTATAGTAAAGATATCCAGTGATTTCTACAAGTTCTTAGTTTTATAAGAAAGATACTATGGCATTTCCACACATCGTTTGTAAAGTAAACATATTCTTCTAGTTTGAAACGTCATTAGTTATGTCATAAAGATATGACTTTGAGATATATCCTTTGTAAAAACTGCTAGCGGAAGGCAATTCTTTGAACAGAGTTATGTGGTCGTTATTTAGTTTGTTCTCCGTTGAACTGTTTCTTTTACGTCTGTTCTGGCAGGAACAGGGAACTTACACAATGATAAGTAAAATATTTACCGCAGGAGTGTTCAATATATGCATAATAAAGAACGTTTTTGGGTACCGCTTGTAAACATACTCTTTGGTAATGTTAAATACTCCAAGCTGATTGCTATTTTCTTGAAATAAAATGCTGATAGATAGACTTCTGCCGCTCCTCTGAGTGGTGAGCTACTGTATGACGTGATGATGGCCCTCTGGGGTCAAATGGAAAGTGCAATAGAACAGACAGAGAATCAATTTACCAAAAGACGGGCAGGGAGTTCTGGATAAACTAAACACTGACGGGGAAACATGGGCTGACTTTTAATCAAGTTGCAGTGGACACTATGAGCTTTTCGACGCTTCTTTGGCAACTGAGAAGGGACGGACACCGTTTAGGGAAGTCCCGATTGCAGTGTTATCTCTTCTTAATTGATTAATTAATTCAATGAAATATATCCAGGTTAATGTTTGGGACATGACTCTTCTGATCCGGCAAAACCTTTTCCCAGTATTTACTTCTTTGCGTTCTCTCTGCTAGTAGTTCAGGTGAAAGGGCCACCTGCCTCTATGAAGTCTGTGGTGCCACGCATGTCCTTCGCTGGTCCACACAGCCTGGCTTCCACCAGAATGCCAACTAGTGAGATCTATAATCTTTCTACTGCATGTAAAGAGCATGTCTGCAGCACTTGTTCGGTATCCTGGGCTGCCTATCTTCATGGGCAGAGTTTTAAGTCCCCAGTCCTTGAATATCAGTATAAATGGTTGTGGAGCCTGCTTTCTTCATTTGGCAATGCAAATGCAATGGTCTGTTTCTTTCGTGTGAGGACTCGCTGTGGCGATTTGTAGTGTTTAAGCTGTTAGACCTTCACATATTCCAGGTGACTGTGTACAGAGTGAAGCTGCCAGTTTGACGATACACAGAGTCAAGTGGTCATTTCCATTCCTCCTCATCGCTTTTCTTCCTCAGCGATTCTCGTATTTTATGGCAACCTTTTAAGGACGTTAGGTCGACCCCCCAATCGCTAATGCCAAATCAATGTTGGTTAACGTCTGCTGAGGTAGAATGCCCAGCATTACTTGGCTTCTGGGGACTGGCCTAATGTGGAGCACCATCTGTGACCTAGGAAACAACGATGACCACACAACATTGAGACTGCAATGGCCTATGAAACTAACCAGGAAGGCTAACCCGCTAAGAAATGCCAGCAGAAGTCGGATGTGTTGGCCGAAAGGCGCAAACGTCGCAGCCATGCTGTAAACGGACACAACGCTTTTACATCTTCAGATGAACACAGAAAAAGAACAATGCGACATCAGTATTGAGGCATGATACGTTCGCACGTGTAAGTTAGCATGTAACGATTACAATGGTGAGGGTATCATGTGATACTTTCATACTCGTCGCTTAGTTTCTGACTGACTATGCTTGCGCAGCTCGTATCGTAGTAATAGTAACTGGCAGTTTTCACACATAACAGTTGATGTATTTGTAGAGTAAGCATACATTAAGCGCTCCTTTCGTTATGTTTGAAGAATAAACCAGTGTCGTATTTGTAATAAATAGCAAACTGTAATATTAAACAGTAAAAATACACATCTTTATCTGGCAATGGAAAGGTAAGAGGCAATCACATCCATTACATGCATGACTGGCCACTACGCGACATCGCTGGCTTAAAAACCAGTTTTACCATTCACTGCCAAACCTATACACGGACAAGTCACAACAATGTCCTACAAGTTGGACTTGTCCTAATTCTTGGAAACAAAATTTAAAAAGCTTGAACCAAGAACTGTCATGGGACTGGTCAAGAAATGACTGGTCTCGCGTTCTGCTTCCAACAAAATAATATCAAATTCAGTTTGGACACACACTGGTCTCAGAGGGTTAGAAAGGTCATATCCCCGGAGAGCACTGGTAGACTGTCTAAACACAAGCGGAAAATCATGCCCTACTTTCGTAGTCCGGGAATACAGAAATCATTCTGGAGCTTAACTGTTGGAATTGGGTACTCTGGCAACCTATTACCCAGACAAGCCCAGTGGATCAGCTCATAAATATTGCTTCTGATACCAGAATGAACAATCAACATATAATTTCTAAGTACCAACCCACACATTTTGTGAAGACAACAATATTCAACCTAAAACGCGACACACACACACACACATACGCACACACTCACGCACGCACGCACACACACACACACACACACACACACATATATGAAATGAAATTACCATAAAGAGTCAGACTACAGATAAGTTATCAAAAGACAAATATACTGAAGAAGTATATATTAAGTGATCTTCTCATTCTTTTTCTCACTGCCAGAGGTTTCCAGATTGTATCCTGCTTGGGAAGTATTCTAATGGGTTCTAACGGCTGTTATGATCTGAGTTTTATTTATTCATTTTATGAAATTAAATTATGGCTTCTACATTTCACCACGTTCTGACTACTA